CAGCCTAGCAGCTTGTGTTCAGGAGTAAACCTGAAGCAGCCTAGCAGCTTGTGTTCAGGAGTAAACCTGAAGCAGCCTAGCAGCTTGTGTTCAGGAGTGCTTGCCGCTGGCGGTTACGAGATGCCGCATTACAGTGAGTACCTTATAATTTTGCTAGGAGTTCCACCCCAAAATTATTTGTACTTAAATTAACACATTTTATGACGCCATTATTTATCGTTAACGTTTTACATAAAAGTGATAACGTAACCTATTAACGACAGCTTGGACACAACACTGTAATTAAGTAGACTAATTTGCTAGAAATTTGTGGATCTGGTGACGTGGTGGAAAGCACGGGGCAGCAACGTTCAAAATCAGTGCCTCGTTGGCAAAAAAATGCACTTACGGTAAGTCCACAACGGGCTCACCATAGCCCGTGCTACTTGGAACTTTTTGTTCCGAGTAGCTGAATCTTAAACAACAACAACAACAACAATAACATGACTTTTGGATGGGGAGGATGTACCGCGTCCGTCCCCTCATTTGACCTATTGATAATTATTGCTATATTTTCTCCCTTACTATTGCATTCAATGAAGGTTCTCGTGGTGTGATGAGTCCATCAAGACATGCCAATCAACGTGTGAGTACATATTTATGTAGAGCGAAGTGTATGTTAAATACGCCACAGTTTCATAAACTAACAAAGAAGGATAGCATATACACTACCTAAACTGGTATTGGATATGTAAGTTAATGATTTTGTATTTTTCTACCGTGTCTATTCTCATGACTGAAGCAGGAGTTTAATAGCCTAAGTTGTGATTATTCCAGTGAAATTTCAACAGTATAATAATACTAGTTTTGTCTTGTGTAAAAGTTTCTTAGATTTACCAGGTGATCTTAAATTAACCTCTGTTCTCCAGAGTCTTTAACAGCATTACGCCTACTGCTGAACTGCGGGCCGGTCCTGTAGGGGGACAGTCTGACAGAGTAATTACTAAGACATAACAGTTATACAAGATTAAGATCACCACAGGGAAGACTCGGCATCCTTACCCACGGTTGAGCTCACTTCGTGGAAGACTGTATCTTTACACACGATTGGAATCCCTAAATGCGCTAACAATTCCTTCCTGCTCGTTGGACCACACGGCAAGATGTCAGGCTTGGCCACAAGAGAGCTGAATTACTATTTACTGTGAGGAATATACACATATACCATTCTCCTTCCAGAGAATCTGGTACAAGCCAATCTGCCTTATCCAGAGCATCGGGCTCCGACATCCTGGGGTAACCTGACCTGCTTGGTCAGGCAGTGCCACGATAATCGGGAAAACGAAATGCATGTTCAATGTTCGGAGTTCTGGGGTAAAAGTACCGGTTACAACGTTCTTGTAACGACTTACTCGCTAGTTTATGGTACGATTCTTGCCGTGTGTGTTGGTTGGAGGGGTGGGGGTGTGGGGTGTTGGTGGAGTGCTGGTGGGGTGTGCTGGTGTTGGGGAGCCTCGTGGAGGAGGTTGTGGGGGTGGAGATCACTGATGAAGCCCCTGGCTCACCTTAGTAGCTAATACAGGCAGGATGCGACGTGATTTCTGGACATCTGACCCTCTGGGAACTGTTTTGCCCGCCCTTACCCACTCTCACCTGGCCCCCACTCACCCATCTACACCTGGCCCCCCACTCTCACCTGGCCCCCCACTTATCCACCTACACCTGGCCCCCCACTCTCACCCACCTACACCTGGCCCCTACCTTCACCAACCCACACCTGCCCACCCTCACCGCCTCCCGGCCCCACCCACACCTGGCCTCCGCCCTCGCCACCCACACTACTCACAATGCTCTTTCCACTCCCGCCCATAACCTCAAACCCACCCATTTAGGGTATCCGTCTTGCTGCGATGAAAACTGCCAGATGATTGGTTGATGAAAGCTGCCAGGTGATTGGCTGAGCAGCTTCTGAATCTGAAACATGTTATCCGCTAAACTAGTATCGATTAAATTCACAAATACTATTGTTTACATTCTGGTACGGAAATTTATGTATTTTAGTTTGTATTTTTATTTAATGTAAAAGGGGACGGGGGAATTGGAATGAAACGGTTATCCATCTACCGTAGTTAGTTTTAAATGATTAGGAAATATGTCTATTTCCCTCAAAGCACCATATGTCAATCATGAGAGTGTACACACACACACACACACACACACACACACACACACACACACACGTCTGTCAGTCATGAGTGTATAACAGCTTTCAAGATCAGGTTATCACAAGACAAGCTTGACCTCATGCCGGGCTTGGACAGTAGAAAAATTCCCAGAACCCACTCCAGGTATACTACATGTATACTCCAGGTATTCTCCATGTATACTCCAGGTATACTCCAGGGCATGAGGACACCCCTGGTGATGACAGAGACAATGGTGAAACTTAAGAGAGCAAAAGAAACCTTGTTGAGTCGCCAGGGGTTAAAAAGACGGGGAGAGGGAGGAAGGGAGAGGAAGGGGAGAGAGAGAGGGGAGAGGAAGGGGAGAGGGAGGAAGGGGAGAGGAAGGAAGGGAAGGAAAGGGGAGCAGAGTCTCTTCGTAAAATGAGGGAGGGGTCGAGTTACCATGTGAAAAAGAGCTTTAGCGACATCCGCTGTCAGAGGGGAAGTCAAAGGTTGGGTCAGGTAGTGGTGGTGGTGATTAAGTCAAGTGGTGGGTGATGAAGTCAAGTGGTGGGTGATGAAGTCAAGTGGTGGGGTGATGAAGTCAAGTGGTGGGTGATGAAGTCAAGTGGTGGGTGATGAAGTCAAGTGGTGGGGTGATGAAGTCAAGTGGTGGGGTGATGAAGTCAAGTGGTGGGGTGATGAAGTCAAGTGGTGGGGTGATGAAGTCAAGTGGTGGGTGATGAAGTCAAGTGGTGGGTGATGAAGTCAAGTGGTGGGTGATGAAGTCAAGTGGTGGGCTGATGAAGTCAAGTGGTGGGTGATGAAGTCAAGTGGTGGGGTGATGAAGTCAAGTGGTGGGTGATGAAGTCAAGTGGTGGTGGTGGTGATGAAGTCAAGTGGTGGGTGATGAAGTCAAGTAGTGGGTGATGAAGTCAAGTAGTGGGTGATGAAGTCAAGTAGTGGGTGATGAAGTCAAGTAGTGGGTGATGAAGTCAAGTGGTGGGTGATGAAGTCAAGTGGTGGGTGATGAAGTCAAGTGGTGGGTGATGAAGTCAAGTGGTGGGTGATGAAGTCAAGTGGTGGGTGATGAAGTCAAGTGGTGGGTGATGAAGTCAAGTGGTGGGTGATGAAGTCAAGTGGTGGGTGATGAAGTCAAGTGGTGGGCTGATGAAGTCAAGTGGTGGGTGATGAAGTCAAGTGGTGGGTGATGAAGTCAAGTGGTGGGTAAGGGGTGAGGGTAAGTTGAGAGGTGAATGGGGAAAAGGGGAGGGAGGTGTGTGGGGGGGGAAGGGAGGTGGGGGGAGGTAAGGGAAAGGAGGGTTTACCCTGCGACGATTACAGGGCTCAGTGTCCCCGCGGCCCGGTCCTTGACCAGGCCTCCTAAACGGAGGCGGCATGTAAACTGACTGATGTACATCAATAGAATGATATCAGTGTTGTTTATACATTAAATAACATTAATTAACAGGGACAAACAATCAACACGAAGAAGGCCCATCTGGGGAACACGCATACAGTAATTAAAACATATTAAATGCTATTAAAGTTGTATCTCAAACACACACGAAATGAAAAACTTACAAAATAGGAAAATGGGTCTCCAATTTCCTAATAAGACCCCCAAAAAGATAACTTATCAACACAGTAAAAACCGGATGATTGACTGTAAAGCACAGTGCCCCGGGGTATTGTGCTTGCTCAAGTACCCTGCCTCATCTTCATATCGGACACATACAAGGACACACAGTATAGTGCCGTATTGGACACATACAAGGACACACAGTATAGTGCCGTATTGGACACATACAAGGACACACAGTATAGTGCCGTATTGGACACATACAAGGACACACAGTATAGTGCCGTATCATCGCGTACAGAATGACACAAAGATTTACGTGAGAAGACAGTGTAGAGGACACAGCAAACCTCCACACAGGTATAAACCATATCTTTCAACGGTTAACAACACGATGCTGTGTGTGGACAAGTTCCAGCTCCTACCCTATGGTAAACACACGTCATGGTCTACTTTCGGACGATATTAGTGACTGGTTAACAAATGCACACAAAGACTTCCTGTCGAGACCAGGAGGCATCACCGTCAGGTTCAAGAAGGTTCACTATAAAGAGTGCAATAAGTGCATCACCAGACCATTCTACAAACACTAAGAACCCAAGACGTCTCAAGAGCTCTCCCTCTAAAGATAAAGAAACATAACTATACCACCTCTAACTATATTCAAACAGAGCGCTTGACACACACCTCTGTAAGTTACACAAGGTAAAAAGATTATCGTGGTATCCACCAGACAATCCTTCCAGTAGTGTTCAAAATATCGAAATATGACTTTTTTTTTTGGCGTTATTCTTTAGCCAAATTCTGGCTCATTGTACATATTTGGAGTTTTAAATTACGACTTTTTATACCAGAATATAAATTGGGAATCGAATTTGGTTCAATATATCACGTTATTTTGATTTCCTCTTGTTTTTGAGGGACTTGTTTAATGGAGGACTCCAGTAGCCACACCAGAGTGCAGGCGAGTTACGTGTAAAACTTGGGTTGGCACCAGCTCTGGGGCTCCGGACTCGTAGAGGATTCGGGCGCATCCAAGTTAAATAATTTTTGCATGTCGTGGTCCATGGGTTAAGGCACACGCCTGGGGTTATCAACTAGACTGTGGGTGATAGATCGGACTGTTTGTAGCGGCATCCAATAGTCTGCCTGGTCAGAGACCGGGCCGCTGGGACACTGATCCAGGGTACCGGATGAAGGTAGCGTCCAGGTAGGGAGGTACTCTACTCTGCCAGACCCTAGCTGCATTATTATGGCACTCTACACCCATCACCATGGTCACTATTCATCATCCTCACTCATCACTATCATCGGTCATCACTATCCTGACCCATCACCGACCATCCACACCCATCACCGTCCATCACCGACCATCCACGCCCATCACCGACCATCCACGCCCATCACCGACCATCCACGCCCATCACCGACCATCCACGCCCATCACCGACCATCACCGACCATCACCGATCATCCACGCCCATCACCGACCATCCACGCCCATCACCGACCATCACCGACCATCCACGCCCATCACCGACCATCCACGCCCATCACCGACCATCACCGACCATCCACGCCCATCACCGACCATCACCGATCATCCACGCCCATCACCGACCATCCACGCCCATCACCGACCATCCACGCCCATCACCGACCATCACCGATCATCCACGCCCATCACCGACCATCCACGCCCATCACCGACCATCCACGCCCATCACCGACCATCCACGCCCATCACCGACCATCCACGCCCATCACCGACCATCCACACCCATTACCGACCATCCACACCCATCACCGACCATCCACGCCCATCACCGAGCATCCACGACCATCACCGACCATCCACGCCCATCACCGACCATCCACGCCCATCACCGACCATCCACGCCCATCACCGACCATCCACGCCCATCACCGATCATCCACGCCCATCACCGACCATCCACGCCCATCACCGACCATCCACGCCCATCACCGACCATCCACGCCCATTACCGACCATCCACACCCATCACCGACCATCCACACCCATCACCGACCATCCACGCCCATCACCGACCATCCACGCCCATCCACGCCCATCACCGAGCATCCACGCCCATCACCGACCATCCACGCCCATCCACACCCATTACCGACCATCCACCCCCATCACCGACCATCCACCCCCATCACCGACCATCCACGCCCATCACCGACCATCCACGCCCATCACCGACCATCACCGATCATCCACGCCCATCACCGACCATCACCGACCATCCACGCCCATCCACGCCCATCCACGCCCATCACCGACCATCCACGCCCATCACCGATCATCCACGCCCATCACCGACCATCCACGCCCATCACCGACCATCCACGCCCATCACCGATCATCCACGCCCATCACCGACCATCCACGCCCATCACCGACCATCACCGACCATCACCGACCATCCACGCCCATCACCGACCATCCACACCCATTACCGACCATCCACACCCATCACCGACCATCCACACCCATCACCGACCATCCACACCCATCACCGACCATCCACACCCATCACCGACCATCCACCCCCATCACCGACCATCCACGCCCATCACCGACCATCCACGCCCATCACCGACCATCCACGCCCATCACCGACCATCCACGCCCATCACCGAGCATCCACGCCCATCACCGAGCATCCACGCCCATCACCGACCATCCACACCCATCACCGACCATCCACGCCCATCACCGACCATCCACGCCCATCACCGACCATCCACGCCCATCACCGACCATCCACGCCCATCACCGAGCATCCACGCCCATCACCGAGCATCCACGCCCATCACCGACCATCCACACCCATCACCGACCATCCACACCCATCACCGACCATCCACACCCATCACCGACCATCCACGCCCATCACCGACCATCCACGCCCATCACCGACCATCCACGCCCATCACCGACCATCCACGCCCATCACCGACCATCCACGCCCATCACCGACCATCAGCCGGAGGAGACACACACCTTTCATCAACAAACCCTCCCCGTCACCCTCTCCATCAGCCTGGCTGCAGGGTGGACTAATCCAGTTCGGCTGCCATTGTCGTCTTCAAGAGGCTGGCATTGTGGGTGCTGTCGTGGTGGTGGTCGTCACGCGCCCCGCCGGGTGCTGGCCCTCACAAAGACCTCGGCTCCTCCTCACAGGGGCCCCGCCACCTCTGTTTACCTACTTCTGAAAAGGATCCCGGCGAGCGATTACCGATGGCCAGATGTTCCCCTACCCGGTAATAACCCCAAGATGGCCTGCCCCGCCCTTGTCCTTCCGAATCGAACATTAAAAATACCGTCGGTGATAAGGGCGGCTTATCTTGTATTGCCAAGTTCAACTTGGTTCACTACAGCTCGTGTCTGGAGGATACGATTGTGTAGATGTGAGAGGCAGCCGCGGGAAGGACCCGAGGTAGCGACACACACCCATATAGACGGGGAGTCACAATAACGTGGCTGAAATATGTTGAGCAAACCACATACTAGAAAGTGAAGGAACGACGACGTTTCGGTCCGTCCTGAACCATTCTCAAGTAGATTGTGAGAATCGAATCGACTTGAGAATGGTCCAGGACTGACCGAAACGTCGTCGTCGTCCCTTCACTTTCTAGTGCATGGTTTGCTCAACACACAGACATGCAACACACAAGGCTGGTGGTATCGATACCATCTTGGTCGCCACCTCTGAGGGAGCCAGCACGCAGCTCGCTACTTCCAGCAGGCAAGACCACTCACCACCAGACACATAAGCAATGGCGCGTGAACATCGCGTTCCAACAGACAGGAAACAGAATGGCGGGAAAATGCACTAATTCGTAAGAGATTTCTAAACACGATCCGTCCTTATTGTCCTGACCGCTGTGGGCAACGCAGTTTTCCCATGGAGCTCCAAATGAGCAGTAATTACTGGCTGGTCGAGGAAAAAAGGATTTGAAAGTTGATGAAAAACGGCTTATTAGCGCCCCCTGGAGGCCAGTTGGACCACACGTAAACAAGCACGATATTTTTTAAGACATTAAGAGGACCTCTGCTCCTTTATTATATAAACCTTGTCTGCAGGTTTGGAACTCTTCCTCCCTCAAAACATCTGGGACCTTAAGAGAGCTCTTTGTGTGTCCCAACCATCAAGGCCACGATCCTCCTCAATAAGTCTCGTAAAGGTCAAACCGAATTATCTAAATTACGAACTAAACTCTCTTGCATAGTACTCTACGAAGATCAGAACAGAGAGAGAGAGAGAGAGAGAGAGAGAGAGAGAGAGAGAGAGAGAGAGAGAGAGAGAGAGAGGCAGAGAGACAGGGAAGACAGGGACAGAAGAGAGAGAGAGGCAGAGAGACAGAGGGAAGACAGGGACAGAGAGAGAGAGAGAGAGAGAGAGAGAGAGAGAGAGAGACATAGAGAGACAGAGATAGAGAGAGCAAGAGATTTTATGGGTTAGTGTAGTGTGAGATAAGGGGGTCGTGATGGCTGTAACCGGGGCCCTGCGCGACAGATACACGCTAGGGACCTTCAAGCCTTGACATCTAAATCTGATTCAGGAGACCCGTCGCAGCGCCCACACGCCGACGTGGGGGGCCCGTGGACGCTCCCTGGCCCTCCAGGGAGTAAAGGAGTGCCTCCAGGCATGTTTTACACCAGGTGCCACTGTCAGCGTCACACAGTAGGGAGAATTATGGAGGTCTTGAGCTGATGGCAACGTCTGGCTGGACTATAAGATTGTGCGCAAGATTGTCTACATGTCAGGAAATGGTGAAATAAATTGCGAGGTATTTCCTGGTGTGCAAAATTAGCATTGAAAACTGGTGGCTAAGGTTAGCACAGCTCTGAGAGCAAGTGTAGCAGTGTAAACCTTGTAATCTGTGTTGTAACTAATGATATATTACTAAGGTGTTGGAGTGTGGCCTGGAGGCATGGGTATGGGGTGCATAATAAAGAAATTGAAATTGAATTGAGGACCCTGAGAGCCCTGAGGACACCAACGAGGCACAGGGTAAACATCGCCCCATATGTGTTGCTGGCGTCAGGGAGGATCAGAGGACACTCAAGAATGATGCATAGACGTCCAACACCGAAGAGGACAACGAGGATAATGATGAGGCTTTTGTCAAGGCTAGACAGCGCCTGGATAACACCAGTGTCTAGTGATGGATGAATGTTGCAACAAGAGAACAAGTCCTTTTTCCATTAACATTAGTTCATCTGCATTTATGCAACTACCGTAGACCACAGGAGGCGTTACAGAGTGTGTCAGAGCCAGCTGTGTGACACTGAACCATTCCCATCTCGCAGGAAGGTTGCTCATTCACGAGTACGCAACACACAGCTGGAAGGATGCTAACATCAGCTACAATTCACACAACAAATCTGCAACAGGGACCACCCTATAATATTAGGAGGACCAGGGTATCAAAAATCAGCATCGGGGGAACCATGAGAAATTCCACAGGATACGAGAGGACCAAGACCAAGAGAGCCTCCATAGGACCGCTGAGCAGCCAGAGGCGGCCAGAACAACTCTTAATGCCGGGTCATGATCTTGTTTTACGAGCGAACAGACCTCGTAGGTCCTGAGAGACGTGGACGCTCCTGGCGGGGCCGTTGGCTCCAGTAGACGCCCTCTGCTCACCATTTGAGGAGGTAGTGGAGGCCACTACCATACATGGATGAGGTAGTGAGGTCACTACCATACATGGATGAGGTAGTGAGGTCACTACCATACATGGATGAGGTAGTGAGGTCACTACCATACATGGATGAGGTAGTGAGGTCACTACCATACATGGATGAGTTAATGAGGTCACTACCATACATGGATGAGGTAGTGGATGCGACTTATATGCATGGAGGAAGTAGTGGAGACCACTACTCCATTTCTGGAGGTACATAGTGGTTTCCAGCTCCATCCATAGCTTCAAGAGAAAATATGATATTACATGAATATTGAGAGTAGTATCACCAGACAACCTCTGGCTGGGAGCTGAAACCAGGAACTACATCTCATCCTCCACAGTACGCATACACACACACCATGGTCCAAGAAATGGCTACTAGAGTTTAACTCAAACAAGTGTTAAGTAATGAAGATAGGTGTAGGGAGCAAGAGGCCAAACACAAGGTACCAGCTGGGAGAAGAAATCCTTCAGGAATCAGGAAGAAAGATCTGGGGGTTGATATCACGCCAGACTTGTCCCCTGAAGCCCACATCAAGAGGATATCATCAGTGGCGTATGCAAGGCTGGCGAAAATATGAACTGCCTTCAGAAACTTGTGTATGGAATCTTTCAGAACCTTGTATACCTCATATGTCAGACCAATACTGCAATATGCAGCTCCAACCTGGAGTCCACATCTAGTCAAACGCAAAACAAAGCTAGAAAAGGTTCAGAGGTATGCCATCAGGGTAGTCCCCGAGCTGAGGGGTATGAGTTACACGGTGAGACTATTGGAACTAAACCTCATGCCACTGGAAGACAGAAGAGCAAGGGGAGACATGATCACCACTTATAAAATTCCCAGAAGAATTGACAGGGTAGATAAAGACAAACTATTTAACACGGGTGGTACGCGAACAAGGGACACAGGTGGAAACTGAGTACCCAAATGAGTCACAGAGACATTAGAAAGAACTTTTTCAGTGTCAGTAGTTAACGGATGAAATGCATTAGGCAGTGATGTGGTGGAGGCAGACTCCATACACAGTTTCAAATGTAGATATGATAGAGCCCAGTAGGCTCAGGAATCTGTACACCAGTTGATTCCTTTGACGTTAATTTTAATTTCTTTAGTGTTTTCGCAGCACATACCTTTCAGCTCTGGGACTAGACTAGTGACAATCCTCTGAACTTTCTCCACCTTCGTTTTGTACTTGACAACGTAAGGAATTCACGCTGGCGCCGCATATTCCAAAACTGGTCTGGCATACGTAGTAGTACATAGTACATAAGTACTACACAAGTACACAAGTGGCGATTGATTCCGTATTCAGTGCTAGAGGTAATTTTTATTTGTGTTGGCCAGCCTTGCACTTGCAACTAATGACAGTCGTTTGATGTTGCCTAAGGAAGACAAGTTCGGTGTGAGGTTATCTTGAGTGCGATATCACGACCTTCACCTTTCACTCGATTCTTGAAGGATTTCTGCCGCCATGTTGGTACCGTGTGTCTTGTCGCGTGTTCCCACCAACCACCTTCTTTAAATACTGTGTTCTTGACTGAGCACAACTTCAGTGGCCACTTGTTAGACCATTCCTTCAGTTTAGCGAGATCACCTTGAAGTATTGGCAATACTAGGCTGTACGACCCATGCTGCAACACTGCTGTTGACAGTTGACAGGCGGGACCAAATTGACGAACAGCTCTTGGTTCTACTATTATCTACCACTAACAAGTTAGGCTGGCCAGTCATTCAATAATCAACGTCATTGAATATATCTAAATTTGCCTATTTTACGTTCTGCACACTAAAGAAAGCGCGAAATTCGCATTTAGTGCACAAAGCTGATGACATGCACTCAGTTGAGCCAGTAATAACTGCACCTCCCCGGCCGCTCTGAGCAACAACGTGTTGGCCAACACCACCAAGAAATACTCTTCCTTAAATATGTCACAAGCTCCTACGTGGCAACTCGGAGGTCACGTGACCCCTCAAGCATAAATGTCAATTGAAGTAGAGATGAATCACGGGAAGCCTCACACGCCCGCCTTCAGGGGGAACGACGCCATTCTTACAAGTCTCTTAAACAAAGAACGTGCGAGAAGCGGAGTACAAGAAATAAGATGTTGTTTTGGTCGTACACGTGAGCAGTGAGCAGCTGCAATGAGTTTACCAACATAATATTCCTTTGTGAACACTTTGAATGAATTTACCAAGAAAATATTCCTCTGGCGAACAGTTTCATTGAGTTTCCCCCAAAACAATATTTCTGGCTTCTCTGACAATCTATATCAAGACGTGTGCTCTCAAGCGTTTAAGTAAAATGGGTTCTACTGTCCACCAAAATGCTTATCTCGACTCATCAGCAATTACATTCTCACTAGTGGTGAAAAGGAATGTCGTGAAAGGGACATCAGAATGCCTGAGTGGACGAACGGAATGCATGTGTTTGCTCCAACGACATGTACGCGTATTTGGACATACAGAATGCGTGTGCTTCGACACACGAGATGAGTGTTCTTACACGAACGAGATGAGTGTATTTGGATAAGTTGAACATTCCGTAATGGGAAACAGGCAGCAGAAGTTAACATTGAGAAATACCCGCATAAAATCTAATACTGTACAGTAAAAAAAACTCTTCTAGATCAAGATCTTCTAGATTTTGTACTCTGTAAAAGTACAGTAGAGACCGCTTCTGACATCAATAGAGTAAGGAACTCTTCTAAATACGTCAATACAGTAGATAAGTTTTCTAGAGGTTGACACTACACGACTGGTGATGGGAGGTTCAGCACT